CTCTCCTCTGTCACAATTACTTTTTACATATCGTACTATTTGTTCCACCTGTTTCTGTTGATAGCTACAAAAACTAGATAGATTATTGTTGGAAGATAGATAGAAATCATTTGCCATCTGCTATTTATTCATTTGCTATCTGATCGATTCCTATGGCAATCGTCAAGTTGGTATGGTCGTTTTCGCTGCGAACGCTGGGGCGTGGGCTAGGGTGGGCCAAGTTTGGCGTGGTGCTAGCCCGTTTTCCACCTATTGTTGTCGCTTGCCCACTTCAACAGTTGACGGAATGCGGATTCACGCCGCCTCAAACCCAGGCTATAGCGTTTGCAGCTAAAACGACTGTGAGATGATGCATTTGTACCTAATCTTCAACCGCATATCCTTTTTTGCATGCCTTGTTAGACCAGAGTGGCTCCACTCACTACCGTTGCACTACATGTGGCACCAATAAAATGGGCTTATCATCAGACATTAGCTGTTTCGTTCTTAAGGTGAGAGACAAATGCTTTCTAGGATTCCTCATCACATTTTAATGAACTTTCATCTTTCGATGGAAGTTCGGATGGTTCTAATGATCTGATATGTTTCGTCGCAAGTTTTATAGCGACAGAAGACGAATTCGTTCACGTTCCTCATCATTGCGGACTGTCGGAGGCGGCGTGAGCAGCGCGGTTCGAGTCCGCGTTCGGCTCCTTGCTCTACCAATGGCGATCGGGTAGAAATCGATTTAGGAAGGAAACAACCAATGATGGAAACGCCGCATGTGAGAACCGCTGATTGCGACCCGACAATGCGATGATATTAAGTGTACTTCTTGGGAGTTTTATCAATGATTCAGTATAGCATCGGCAGGTCCTTCCGTCTTCGTTACAGAGAGGAGAGCTTGGCATAAGCTGCTACCTTAACCTTATTTATGACGAAGTTCCCATTTAATAGTGCTCATCGCATGAACATCCAACACTTGTTAAGACCGTGGATGTTTTAGCTGTCGAATTACTGCCAGTCCAATTATTTAGGATCGGAATTAAAGATCTTTTTTCGGTAAGGGTCTGATATTGATGATTATTTGTAACAAAGTGGTATAGCGGTACTTCGGTAACCCTCATGTTTACAGAAGGGAAGGATTACAGAAAGGAAGGTCTTAGATATTTACAACTTTTTCCATAAAAAGTTTCATACGACCTCACTCCCTTTCAACGCACGCTGTTATAAAATTTGGGTATACTACAATACAAAAAAATTTGAAAAAAATTTGAGTATACTACAATACTATGTTGATATTAGCCTGCAAAAAAAAGCCTGCGACACTTTGATCAAACTGTTCTGGAAAAAAATCAAGAAACGTTTTCAACGTTTTTACCCGTGACTAAAGAGAAATTTGCTCTCTGAGATTTTTACAGACGGATAAATTATGGCTCTAAGGAAGCTTCCAGAGCTTAAAAGTCCCCAGTCAAATTAATTTTCACCGTCTCCCATATTATGAGTTTAGGGCCACTATGTCGTTGCCTAAAGATGTAACACCTGCATTGTCTTCAGGAAGGTTGTCGCTTGCCATGGCATATGGTCCCATTTGTATCAGCGTTTGCAATCTGGAGTCATTTATTCGAAGGTAGACAACGTGTAGATCGGCCACCGGCACGGAACAATGGCTGAGTTGTCCCTTCTTTGCTCTAATATGGGACATTTTCTCGTTATTGTGGTCGGTAATGAGAGCTGGCTTTTCTGCGTGAGCCATACACATAACCTTCACAGGAACTCTCAAGAAGAGTCGCTGAGTTAAAGGCAGACATGAATGGGAAAAAGATCGCGCTATGTCCTTGGTTCGTGGGACTTCAAAGCGATGCCGCTGTGAACTGAGCAGTAGTGTAAGCACAATTTCTTTCCTCTGCGATGCGAAGACCGCATCTGGCAATAAGGCTGCCTGATAGGCTGTGGACTTGATCAGGGAATGTAACCGTGCCCAGTTCATTCACCAAACTGCCCAGCTTACTCACCAAACTTAGCAGCCTCTGACTACCTCTCCTTTGATCCATACTGCGTCCTTTAGAGAGCAAAAATTTAGAAATCAACGCCCATTCGAAAATGAGGTCCCCTCTTCTTACACTGTAGTTGCCGTGGCCGTGATCTGTATTTTTTTGTAAGCCCAAGATTGAAAATAGGGTACAGGCATACCTAACTCAGAAATCAGCTTCTGGCATTTCTGTATAAGTTCCAGGCTTAGTCCTCCCTTGAACGCGAGGTCTCGGGGAATAGGGCTAAGCCTAGCAGTTAAGACAGGCTTAGAACACTGATCAAAGTTATCACAAGAATGCAGAGTAGAAGGCAATTGACCCAAAGGGATCTCGAGCTCGCACGTCACACTTTCTCTCTGGTCAAAGTGTTTATGCTCAAAAATGAACCAAATTATTCAGAAAAATAGGGCCCCCACAGAGGTTCAGTTGATTCCCTGTAAACTTTTGGAGCATTATACCATATTTCTTCTGAATTATTCCTAATTTTTTTGCTTATTTAAATGTTATTGTGTTGTTTCCAGATGTTTTTATTCTTTTTTTTATCAGTATACCTGGCTGTATTATGCACTAACTGTGTTTGTTTCACTTTTTCCCATAACTTGCGGCGCACCCTTGAGTGTATACCAATAAATTATCGTGTTGTGCAAAGTTCAAAAATAATTCAGCTGACCGAGCGAGGTAGAAGCCAGGGTTTTGTCAGGTGATCGCTTGTTTTTAAGACAGATCTAGTGTACATTTGCAGTGTGCTAGTGTAAGAATGTTTAATCATTTTGTAATCCTTACGATAAGGGCACTTTCCTTCAACAGTGCAAGCTGTCAGTGATGTCTCTTCCCTTATCTTTTGAAGCCATTTGCAATCGCAGTCACATACGGCATTTCCTTGTGTTCTGCTGGAACACTGACGCGGGCACCGAAATGTTCGTCCCAGCTGTTGTCGTGCTCTTGCTCCCTCTAGCTGTGAGCATCTCCCCTCCAGTTTTGTTTGGCCGACCCCGAGGAGGCTTTCTACAAGTAGGTTTCGCGTAGAGTTCGCTTTTTTATTTTTCCCAGCAATTTTTCTCAAATCATGACTGCTCTCTGGGGAAGTTATATATATTCTCAGTAACCTTACAGCAGTTAGAAACACCTTCGGAGCTTTGTCCGCTCCAGAAGGGTAGATAATAAGTGAAGCATCAAGAATACTATAATTTGGCTGCGCCCATTTCCAATCGTTTCCTTGCCATCTTTGACGAGCTCATGAGGTCTTATGGTTAGATTTAAAACTACACACACGAGAGTGCATAAGCCATCGGTAAGGTGAAGTGCTTTGCTGGAAAATCATTGATCGAGCGAGATAAGGAGCATGTAATCTTCCACGAACTTTGCTCATCATAGAACGCGATTACAATTGTATACATATGTAGGTTAAAGAAACTCGGAAACTGTTGATGGCTGCTGTGCCTCTGTAGAAGAGATCAGATGGCTCGGAGCAACCCTTCCGTCTTGAGGATCAGTACCAAACGTCAGATCTCAAAATCATTGCATAAGTGAAATGCCTTCTCTCCGAATTTTGAGCCTAAATAGTCATCAACCCTGATAATTAAGCCACTGCTGTTACTGTAAATCCTTCGTTCGGGAGTTCCTAGTGATGTGTCCTACTAAAAGCCCACGGAATGCCCGGAAGGCTTTATTCTTGTTTATATAAAACCCTGTGGTGGAACCTTAGGATCAGACACGATCCGATATTCGAAATACTTTACCATAAGAAATTCCATAGAGAATCAAGGATTTTCTGTAAAGAGCCCGTTGAGCCAAGCAGAAGTCCCATAATCTATCACAAGTTCAGTGCAGCGGTTTACCCGCCCGAGATCGCTCATTTTCTCGCAACAAAAAAAGAAGCATTTTTACAGCAGCACTTTTTGGGCCTTGCCTTATAGTGGGTTAGCCCAAAAGTAGTGCCGCTTTGTATGAAGATTTTCGTGTTCGCACTTTCATATGGAGATTAATCTCTGAAAACGGAAGAGCGTGCGCTGGATCTCCTATTAAAGTGACGAAATGGCCTGAAACCTCCGCAGCGTAGTAGTACCCAGCTCCACTGACGCTGCACGCAACGTGCTTCTTGACTAATGTTCTGCCGATTTATTGAATTACTCAAAGTGTGCCTTGCAACGTTTAGCGAGGTTACTCCAAAAAATATTGTCATCTGACACTGGACTCACCTTGCAGTCGCCTGGATGTTCTATTGTTTATTTCACAGTGGTCAACTATGTCTTCAAGGAAAGTGAACGTTATTGAAATTCCAGGCTCCAGTTGGAGACGGTCCTCAAACAGAGGACAAATATTTGGTCTACTCGAACATTACACAAAAGGTTGATCATTTTGGCGGATCGACAGCCACATGGAAGCAGGTACGTCAGCGTCTGAATACTGTTGTGTGGTTGCGACGGCATGAAGAGAAAATAAGTTTAAGTATGAGCATTTGACGAAGGAACCCTGGGAGCTTGACAGAGAAGCCAGACAACTGCGCGAGAGAGCAAAAAAGAGCGAGCCGCTACATTATTACTGACACATGCAATGGGAGAACTACTTACGGCTAAGTTCGTACTTTGCGGCAGCGTTCACGAGCGTCCACCAGCGACCACTAGTGTACCGAGCGTCCGCAGCATCAGCGACTAGGACAACACACATAATTAACCTAGCGTCTGCCGGCGTGCACCAACGTCTGCTAGCGTCTCGAGGGCCAGAGAGGTGTAGACATTGATCTGGCGTTTGAGCCTCTACCAGCGTCCACCAACGTTCACCACGACCGGCAATAGAGAGCATGAGGAAGCAAAAGGGTAGCCAGCTATTTGCTAACCTCCTACTTCCCCATCTCTCTACTCACGATCGCTGGTGGACGCTGCTAACGCTGGCAGACGCTACCAGACGCTAGATCGCTACTTATACTTCCTAGCCCTCGGGACCTGGAAGACGGTAGTGGACCCTGGCAGAGGCTGGTAGACGCTAGATGGATATCTATACTTGCCTGGTCGCTGACGCTATCGGATTCTCGGAACGCTAGTGATCGCTGGGACGCTGGTGGAAGCTGCCGCAAAGTATGAACGCGGCCCAGTAAGAAGACGCACACGAATCGGCGTCAGGAACCCTTTGTAGCTTTTCCACGCTCTCTCGAGTCGCCAAGGTGGCCCATCATCTACATGTCTATCATCTAATGCGCGGGAATCGTATCTCTCAGCCATCAATACTTGCTGTACAGCGAGTGATCTAAAATCACTGTGAAAAGCATGCTGTAATTGCATTTTCACCATAATGAATGTTTTTGAACATGATTCTTGAAAACCTTGTTTGGAATCGTAGGTTGCTGGATGTTGCGATTTTCATCTGCTGTTTCAGCGATATCAGTACAATTCCAAGTTCTACAATGCAAGCAAAGGCATCGTGTTTCTGATGATCGGAGGAGAGGGTGAGCACATTTCTCGCGCAGCTCCACAACATAAAATCCTTCGCTATTCTGGCGATTGATTAGTTTCAGGCTCAATCTCGCCTCCAGGTGATAAATGGGTTAAAGATGAGAGTATTACAATGATGCAGTGGGCTCAGAAATATGGAGCAGCCGCATTCCAACTTGAGCATCCGCTTCTACGGACCAAAAGAAAACGCTCCTATGAGGTGGTTCTCTTACAATACAACAGATTGAACGAAAGCACACTTTGAATCTCCTGCTATTGTCAGGAAAGCGAAGAAGCTCTTCGACCTCTAGTTTTATCTTATCAGTGGAGCAAATCGAAATAGCCCAATTCATGACCAATAAAGTAAAGAAGTAATAGTCACAAGATCCTTATGTCATTTGACCTCTTCTATCCCTGCCATCACTGACGTGATTTCACACAATGTTGAATCACATGGTTTTTGGCTTCCAATGAGCACTTTTCGGAACTCAAAGACGTAGCAGCACAGTCAGGGGTGAGCTAATGAGTGTGCACAGCTGCACTCTCCTTCCTCATGATGACCTTTTTCCTCAAGATGGGAAGGAGGACGAGCATACCGGAGGCAACCGCGAACTGGTCTCTTTCATGCGATGAAACCCTAGAGTACCTTTCAAGACAAACTGTACTCACTTTTGTGGATCCTGATTCCGGCCATGTTCAAGGTGAATGGATACACAACTGCACTAGCGTGCCACTTTCTCCGCTTAGAAGTGCACGAGAACTACGCAGGAGGGTAGTGGTCCCTGGATGTTAACGTGTCGCGGTCGCGCTGAAAATAAGGTTGTTGCATAAGGATTTTTCCCCCTGTTTTGATCCTTCCGTATTTCGTTTGCATGGAGGTTGGTATTTCGTCATCACGTGTGCGTGACGTGTACATGATACTCTTTCACCACACTAGCTATCACTCACCCACCCTGCATTTGCAGGCTATAATGCCGCACAATTACCAGTGCAAAACCATGTCACAGTGGTGATTGTGCGGCATTGTGGCCTTCTTCGGGTCCCAGCCCCCGTCCTTCTGGGACGATGGAATCGACAAGCTGCCTGAGCGTTGGCGTCGAGTAGTGGATGGTGATGGTGCATACCTCTAATCTTCAGGCTGGTTCGCTATTGAGATATTTACAAAAAAGTCGGGAAAAAACTTATGCAACAACCTAATACTTGCCTGCACCCCTCATTTCTGGTTGTTGTCCACGGCTCAGTGCGTGTTTCGTTGCGAGGTGTCGGTATCTTCACAGGTGCAGCACATATGTAGGAGACAGCGCCGATGGAGTACGGGTACTGCACGTACAGACACTGCATCCTTCCAGCCCACTTCTCGTTCATTTTTTAGCGTAGAAAATGGTACACTACATATTGCAGCTGCGAGACCATTCAACTAGCACGCAGAAACGACCGTCCTTGCAGATAAGTGGGAGTTCACCTCCAAAAAATGGAGCGGAGCTGAGCAGAAGTTCAGCTGAAAAGAGCCAAGGAACTCTTGACGATCTACGAGTGCATCGAGACCAATAATCGTTTTAAACTTCTTGACTTCTCGGACAAAAACACCTAGTGGTAGAAATAGCAGTCTTTCAAGATCAAATTTCAGTAAACAAGATACTCAAGCGTTACAACTGCTCACTATAGACCAAGCTCTAGAAGATATCAAAGAGTTCATCCAGCAGATGAACGAGAAATACTTCTCTGGAAACAAGCACGAAATGGGTGACGTTCGGCGGATCCTATCCAGGTCGGTTCGCAGATTTTAGCGAGACTCGAATAGAAGTGCGATTTGATGGAAAAATCTAGTCGCTCGTTACATTCTCTTTTCTTGTCAGTCAGCAGTTCGGTGCTGTTTGGCTCGGTGGGGCATTCAGCACTTTCGCTTGAATTTTTCTTATCACCCTGGTGAGACTTGTGAATTCCTGGGACAGCTGAGCAGTGAGGGACAGCTACTTTGGTAACAGGAATTTCACAGGTCTTGACAAGATGACCTGTGCGAACCTAGCTAATACCATTAGAGCCCCCGCCAAGCCGAACTGCGCTCAGCAAGTCGCTGCGGCATAGTGACCACTTGTTCACTTCTGGAAGGATAGTTTCTTTTCTCGCGAGAAAACTCATCGTTGAACTGTTACCGGGATGGAAACGCGGCATTGGCCAACCCGATCAATCGGCTTTATCCGAGGTCGTGGTCTCTCGCGTCCTGAGGCAATTTCTACGGCTTTTTGCAAAATTATTTTTCCAGGTGATCTCTCAGCTTTTTATCGCGAAACGTACCCAAGTACGACTATTGGAGCCGTGGCCAGTTCTGCGCCAATTAATCTTTTCGTAGATTACTACGGTAAGTGCTCTTGTTCATCCTAATTGTCCACTCAGGTGTTCACTGTAGAACCTGGACATTACCTGAGGTGAAACGCACTTGCTACGGTCATTACAACAACAAACAGGGCGCTTGAAACGTCTCATCTTCAGGATATTTGATGAATTCCGGGGAAAACTATGGCAAACAAAGCAAAGACTGCGCAACAGCGATCTCCACTGCATTTGCTAAAATGCAAAAAAATTTTTACAACGGCACGTTTGGACGAGATCTGCTTGTGAAGAAGTTCAAGTAAGTGGTCTGATATTTGACTCAGAGACTTTCAGTTTACGGCCTAATTCGCTGCGTACGAAGGGGCGTGTCAGGCGGGATGAATTTGACGCGATGCCAAACCCGTTGCTGAAACAAGTGACAAGACTGTTTCACATCGTTCGTATTACTCGTTTTCTATCAATCGTTGGATGCATATCCGCTTCGACAACTGGCAGAGAACGGGCTCTGCGCCGTGGCACACTCATACTGCCTGACAAGCCCCTTCATCCTCAGCGAACTATAGTATTCAGACATATTTCGCCATTACAGTGTCTTTATGGTGGAGACTAAATTTGAATTTCTAGGTACTCTCAGTTTAAGCGGTAGATAATAAAAGAGAAAAACCTGTCGGGAGGGTCCCAAAATGAGTGCCTGTTTATCATGAAACTGTACGAACACGCGCTGGACTGATGTGCAGACGCGCGACTTAGAAGCCAGCCTTTCACAAGCGATGAGATGCACAGTTGTGCCAGCAATTAAGGTGGGCATTTATACATTGTGGGTGGAGTCAGACCAAGAAAGCCGCACTTTACTCAACTTACAAGTCCCAAGTGTTCTTAAAACGCGCTTTTTTGAGAGCGGTGTGCGTAGGAGAGGATCCTAGGGAGAAAGGGTCTCCGCCCACCTGATAATCGTGGACCGTGTCTTCAAACTGACAATTAGTGCGATCGATAATGGCACTATGAATTTTTGGTGACTTTTTCAGTCTGTGCGATAAGTTCGACGAGAATAACCTAACCAAATCTATGCAGTTCTTTTTTTCAAATGTCATCA